TTACCTGGTGACACCACCTTGGCACCACCACCAGGCTTATGCAGGTCATTTCACTCGGTACCTCTGCTTAGCCAAAAAATTTCACGTCCCTGCCGCAAAGTCACCCAACTTCGTGGCGACCCCAAGCGTGCAGACTAGAACTGCCCCACAGGGTTTCTAGGCTGTGACGTTTCCGAGACAGATCTCACTAGTCCTACTTCTGAGGTGCCCCATTCTGGGTAGGTTAGTAGCCCAGCACTTAACCATTTGGGTCATCAGGGGAGCGCTGTGCTTCTTACAGGAGGAAGTGATACCAGAGTCACTTGAAGACTCAAAGCAACTGAGGACCACCAAGTTGACGCTGACTTCATAGTGACCTTATAGGACAGGGCAGAATTGCCTCTGTGAGTTTCCGAGACTGTTAACTTTTTACGGGAGTAGAAAGGCCCATCTTTCTCCGGAGGAGCAGCTGATGGTTTTGAACTGCTGACCTTGCAGTTAGCAGCCCAACATGCCATGCAATGCCTAAGTCCCGCCACGCAATGCCTAAGTCCCGGCCCAGCTCTAATGAATCAGAACCTCTGGGTTTGCGCCCTGACATCTGTTGCTTGTACAAGCAGTCCACGTCATTGAGATCTGTAGTACTGGTTACAGAACAACCACACGAGCGCATGGTCAGGGCGCAGAGGGGCCACCTGAAAAGCCATAAATGGTGGAGGAAGGTTCTGGCACATTACCCTTGCCTGATGAGCTTAAAATGAACCAGTCTCCCATTTCCTCCAACAACACATGGAAAAGGAAGAGACTGAAATGAGGATTAAGGCTAACATGACAACTGGAGATGGGTTATTTTAACACAAAATTTGCACAGTAATTTCTAGGGCATTTAAATAGAACATAAGCTGTAGGACAATATTCTCAGTTATATGTTACTCCTCTGACGGGCCATCTCAGATATGTGCCGGTGTTAAAATAACACCCGAGCAGGCCATTGCTTTTACAGAATCAAATAAAGATAAACCTGCCTGACCTCCTAGCCAGTGGGAATAAGCTGTAGCACAGAATACTATACCTGGAAGGTGTGGTCCTCTCTGGTTGATAACCAGGTTTGTGGCCCATGCTTCAACTTCCTCCGATTCCTGGACAGCAGGTGCCGGGATGTATATAGTCTCTTATCTGTAGAGTCATTTAGACCGCGCGACTCTGTTGATGCCCAATAGCCCCAAAATAATACTGCCAGCACCCAACAAAGGGATACAGAGCTGGGCTTCCCCAAAAATACCATTTTTCCTTATCTTGCTGTATTTTGCTTACAGACCCAACTCTAAATGACTGTTTCGGGTTTATTACCAATTCAATGGTACAAAACTTTACCCTCCACCTTTATTTTTTGCTAAAGAACCACTACTTGGTTTGAACATAGCTCCTTGCCCTAACAGTGTTCATTATTTCTCAGTAAAAGATGTGGATCGACATGTCACACAATGATATAGCAAACAGAATAGCACTGGGAAACACAGGATGCCCACATTCTGTTAAGTTACTACCACTAACATCTTGAAGTCTAGGAAGTGTTTCATAAAGAAAGGCAGTAAGATCTCAAGTCATTCGATATGCTTTTATTTGCCATAGGCTTATTGATATTAAACTGGCATTTTACACAATCATTATCCTGGGTCCTCAAGCACTGAACATCTACAGAGTTACATTCAACATCCAGCTTGGAGATTCTAAATTTAGTCTCTGTTTACTTGTTTTCAGTCCAAAATCCAGTAGTGTCCCTTTAACCATTCCACCAGGAACCTCTTTTACCTAGAAACCTCAGCACTGTTTCTGCAACGCAGGGTCACTGCAATCTTTCATTCTACTTTGGAATTTTTAAAAGAGCACATTTTACAACAGAGATAGCAGCTTCAACTTTTAGATAACCCTTGCAAGCATAAAGGAAAACTACAGAGAAAGAAACCACACAGATTCTGGAGCCAGACTGCCTGGGTTCAAATAGTTTAAGACACTTAAGATACTTTAGCTACTAGATCATTTGAATAACTTTGGGCAAGTAGCTTAATTACCATTCCGCCCCTCAGTTTCCTCATTTTCAAAATAGGGAAAATAATTGTTTGAAATATTGTTAGGGAATTCTAACACATTGACCTGCCAAAAGCATCTGGGCAGTGTTTAAGCAAAAATGCTGGCAATTAGTATTATTGTACTTCCACAACTTCAAATTCTGTGTCATGAGTGTGAATAATCTCTGTCTAATGCAAATATATCACCTACTTGAGGGCTAGCTCTACATTTTTAGTATCTTGGGTATGTCCTCGTGAAACATAATATTCATAACAATCAGTACCCATATCATTTTCTATATATATATGTATGAATGTATGTGTATATATTATTGTACTGAATACGAAGAAAGCTTTCAAGACTTAAAAACAAAAGAGAAAAAAAAAATTTAAAACTCACCGCCACTGACTGAATTCTGACTCAAGCTGACCCTTTCCCGTCCCACTAGCAACTTCTAATTCGGATGGAGGAACAAGATATATAAAACACTTAGGTAACAATATAATGCATTATATTAAATGCTAGGGTGTGATATAAAGTGCTCACATTCCAAGAGTTCAGTGTGGGTTACTGACTTAATGGAGATTTGAGCAACGCAAGATCTATAGATACCAGGGGGCTTCCAAAAGGTTTGTGGGGAAAATTCTATTATCTTTTAATTCCATTTTTCCACTTTCTGAAGCCCCCTCTTAAGTAGGATCTTCATTAGTGCAAAGAGAGGAGGATTTTTGCTACACAATTTCATCCCACATGTTTTTAAGAAGCACTTTCCATAAGCCAAGGAGCCCTGGTAGCACTATAAGCATTGACAGCTAACCACAAGGTTGGCAGTTCTCAACCACCAGCCATATGGAAGAAAGATGAGGCTATCTGCTCCCATGAAGATTTACAGCGTGGGAAGCCTACAACAGAATCATGATGAGTCAGAATCAACTCCATAGCAGTGGGCTTTGAATACAGCTTTGCTAATCTATGAAACTCTCCCCTCCCCTCTTCCTTAGAGACAAAGTGGTGAGGTAAAGGAACCCTCTTAAATACTGACTGGTGAAGGAAGTAATCTCACTATTTTTCTAGAAGGCACTTAAATCTGACTGCTCCAATCTCAAGATTCATCTCCTCCAAGCACTTTCTCCATCCTCTCCAGTCCTTCCAGCTACTACCATGCCCTGGGGACAGACACTTTATCACACCACCAGTCTCGGAATAGCTGGCTTAACCTGAACAGTTTTGACTACGGAAATCACTGAACTCTCATCTCTGAAAACATAGTCAAAAGGAACATGTGACCAAGGAAGTCAAAATTAATTAAATCCAGTTAAAAACTTAACTTCTGAAGTACTGGACTCAAAGCTGAGAACACTTTTCAGATATTTCAAAGCAAGCTTGAAAAATGAAATACAGCCTTTTTACAATGCAGACAATCTAACATTCTTAACATTCACATGTTCATGAAAATGTGCTCAAACTAATCAGCAGAGGCACAACACATTATTTTTCATTTCCTTAGTTTGGTATTGAAAAACATACCCTCATGTTTCATTATGTCATTTTTAAAATTTTAAGGTTAGTTTTAATTAACAATTAAGGAATGCTATTTAGAAATTCAATATGGAAAACAGGCCATTTAAGATGGAGTCAGTAATCCTTTTCCCAACAGCTACCTCTTTCTAATGCTTAATGTTATGTAATGAGGACTTGGAAACAATTGGAGTTCACAAAAAGGAAACAGTACTACGAATTTTTGAAGCAAGCTGCCAAGTTGAAAAATACACTAATTTACTCCAAGTCATTTTACATTGCCATCACCTATTTTACAAAACAGACATAAGTATCGAATGTTTACATTCCACACTTGGAAGTGTTCAAAGCAAGCTCACGCATTCAAATACGTTTGCTTATGTAAAAAGTTATCGCTGACGATTTAATGAGATAAAGCACATCGACCATTTGACACAACTCTGCCATCAATCAGTACTCAGCATTGACTATTACTGTTCCCGATTTTCCAACCTTTTGTCTGTAGGCAAAGTCTACTACTTTGACAGCCAAACTACATGGCTCTCAAGTTAGATACGTTATTATATTTAACAGAATTAAATCAATAAATTAAAGACAGCAAAGCAAAGCTAATATGCTACAGCACCAAGTAAGATTCTCAATCTAGTCCAAGGTAAGTTTCATTGTAACTGATTTTTGAGGAAGAGAGAAAACTTGCGATGAGGTCCAGTGTTAAAGATTAGCTCTGATCTCTGCATGTCAATGACTAAAGCAGCTTCTACGAGGTCTAGTGTGAATTACAATGAACCTTCTGTTGATCCCTGCGCACTTGCTCCAAATGAACAAGACCTCAAGCACGTGGACGAGTGGCCATGGAAGCCTGCATCAACCGCTGAAATCTGATCACTTCAGTAGGCTACACCTGCCTCATACTAGAAAACACATTTTTCACGACACTGTACGCATACTTGAAAGACATGCCCCAAAGTCACTGAAACTGGCAAAGCCACAGCACCCTGACCACGTGCAGGTTTTAAAACGCCCCAACGTTCTCGGTCACGCACTCTTTACGATGATGCGGAGAGCCGAGAGCCTAGAGTAAAGCTACATGATTTCTTACGCGTGCACAGAACAGTACCCTGATGACCCCATGACGGAAAAGAAAAAAA